CGGTCTCTGATTCTCTCCTGCTGCTCTGGCCCTCCCGGCCAGTCCTGGCCCCACGCTGATGGCGCCTGGGCACAGGAAAGGCTTGCCGGTTTATCGGTCCTGAGCCAGACCCGAAATGCAACAAAAGAGCTAAAAGGAGACCAGCGGCTTGTAAACAGGGCTCCAGTGGCCCCTTTTCTTTGGCTCAGATTTGCAACCCTAGTTTTGCCTTGCACCCAGGGATCATTTTGAGGTGGCCTAAAACATCGTGTTTGTGTTCAAGGGTTTACACCCCGCATCCTGCGATCTAAGAGAGAAAGGAAATGGTTTGGCCGCTTTTGTGCTTGGGTGGGGAAGCAGAGGACTTCTTGCCTTTGCTGGACTAGGTAACCTTGGCTTTGTCTGGGGAAGAGTGCCGCAGGCTTTGCAACCTTATACAAAGAGGGCAAAGGCGGAAGAGGGGAAGAGTGGCTCTGTATTGCCCACTTAGGTCTGGGACAAGGCAAAGAACCAGGGTTATGGGTTTCTTAAAAGGAATCTTGCCCACCCCATCCCTGCAGTGTGTCCCTCAGTGTCTACCAGTGGGCCACAGAGTTACATTTCTGGAGGAATGCTTTTTGTGTGAGGGCAAAGAAACATTTTAAAATTGAGGGAATTCTGGGGGGGGGGTACTGCAACAATGCCCAGGTAGGGTGGAGAAGGTGTTCTTGTTTGTTTATCTCTTGAAAGAGTCTGGCTGCCTATAAACCTGGTTGTGGAACTCCCTGTCTTCCCAGGAGAGGTGGGTAAGCAGCGCCGACTTGGGGCCCTGGAGCAGCAGGGAGATTGGGAAGCTGTTTAAGCTGTGACTTCTATCCCTGTCCTGTCATGGGATGACCACTTAGAGTGTTGCTGGGGAAATTCTGTAAACTTTCCTATTATAACAATGTCTTGTGTAAGCCAGAAAGTTGTGTGGCAGAGAGAGACAGACAGACGGGGGTGGGGGGTTACAGAACATCTTTCCATTGTATTACTAAGTATTTAGTTCTAATTTGGTATCAGTTTAAAATCCCCTTCATTCCCCACCTTTGTGAGTAATGTTTAATACCAGCATTGTCCAAAGCAGCCTGTCTGCCAGCAGGGTCATGGCCAAGGGTATATTTGAATGGACTGAGAGAAAAAAAAAATTCTTGATTTTTTTCTTCTCCCTTTAATTTTGTTAGAGGAAATCAAGTCTGATACTCCAACCAGCAATTGGCTCACTGCAAAGAGTGGCAGGAAGAAGAGGTGCCCTTACACTAAGCACCAAACGCTGGAATTAGAAAAAGAGTTCTTGTTCAATATGTACCTCACCCGCGAGCGCCGCCTAGAGATCAGTAAGAGCGTTAACCTCACCGACAGGCAGGTCAAGATTTGGTTTCAAAACCGCCGAATGAAACTCAAGAAGATGAGCCGAGAGAATCGAATCCGAGAACTGACCGCCAACCTCACCTTTTCTTAGGTCTGAGGCCCACGTGAGGCCAGGATCCGAGAGGGGGCACCGTGTTCCAGGCCCGAGTGCTGGAGGACTGGGAAGGCGGAAACAAAACCTTCATTGCTCTTTGTTTTTTTTGTTTTGTTTTGTTTTGTTCTGTTCTGTTTTCCTGCTAGAATGTGACTTTGGGGTCATTCTGTTCGTGCTGCAAGTGATCTGTATTCCCTATGAGTCTATATATATATTAAAAACTTAGCACGTGTAATTTATTTTTTCATCGTAATGCAGGGTACCTATTACTGCGCATTTTCATTTGGGTCTTAACTTATTGGAACTGTAGCGCATCCATCCAACCATCTACACTCATCCACCCATCTATCCAACCAGCAATGTGACTTTTCCACATTCTCCTCACATGAAAGTTCTCTGTGTGTGGTTAGTCCATGAACTCATGTCATTTTGAAATCATCCAATACTTAAAAAAAAATTACACATATATATATATATTTCAAACTAATAAGAAAACCCACAAGCTTTGGGGGGAGGGGGACTTTAAAAAGCACATTACAATGTATCTTTTCACAAATGAACTTAGCAATTGTCCTTGGTGAAATGGAGTATTGATGACTTATGCCTTGTAGCCTTTCCCTTGTGGTGCATCTGTGGTTTGGTAGAAGTACAACAGCAACCTGTGCTTTCTGTGCATGTTCTGATCGCATGTATAATGCAATAAACTCTGGAAATGAGTTTGTTCCCTCTGCTTTCTGAAATGGAAATACGTTATGGTGGAAAGGAAAGCCTTTGGGAAGGGCCTGTTTGGGGCAGTTGGGTAGGGGAGTGGGGGATGTACAGGAGAAAGGACATAGGAGGAGGAGAGCTGGAGAAGAGCACCTAGGGCACTAGAATTTGGCAATGATGGGGTGAGAAGAATGGTGATTTGGCCTGCGAGTCTTCCTAACTGAGAAGAGTGTCCTGTTTACCCCCCCCCATCCTGTTAATATACTTGCATTCTCAATGACATGAGCTTCCCTCTATCTAGCCTGTGCCTGGTAAGTAAAACCTGGGTGATTTTTACTTTCAGTTCCCCATGTGTGTGTTTTCTTCTCTTTGGTTTTTGGTCATGTTATTTTTAATGCTTTCAGTGAGCTCTTGGTGACTTCTGGCTGGGGAATCCGCCATCAGGGGCTAGGTTGGAACTAGTAATGCCCACCTGGAACCTGCCCGGCCTCCATTACAGGAACAAGCAAACAGCTTAGCATGGCACCGGATCCAATTGTGTCCCCCGCCCTCCCCCTTTTCTCATTCCTACCCATCCCAAGCTCAAGACAACCAGGCCCAGTGAAGCCAAGGTTGGGTGAGTTCTCTCAGCTTGCTTTACCTTGGTTCCTTTCTGAAAGGGATTTATGTCCAGCCATTACTTTTCAGTGGCCCACATGAATTTTTTTGAGGAAAAAAAGAGGAAATATTCTCCCCAGTCAAATCTCTCACTATTATTACAAAATGCTCCTTGCAGCCACTGTAGCTGAGCAGTCAGGTGACTGAAAAAGAGTTTGCAAGTGAACATGACTGCCCAGCAAGTCCAATGGTCCTCTTACACACGTAGATTGGAAAATTCAAGCCAGTTCCTGCGGAATTCGCACCATTGAGCCCAGATCCATCTAGTCCTGCCAGGGGAGGGGAAGAGGTTCTTATGGGAAGAGGTGACCGAATTCGTTATCCCAGGTTCGGCCTGTGGTTTTCAACCTATCTTCAAAGACCCATCATAAAACAGGTTTGGTTTTTTTTTTCCCTTTCTTTTCTTTCTTCTTCTTTTTTAAAACACAGACCCCTTTTCTCCTAAAGAACAACCTACCTAGTCTTTCCGAACTTCGAAGCCCCAATTCAAACAGTCTTTGGGATGCTCAGTGTTTATTGTTTTAAACTTCCTTCCCCAAATCCCAAATCCTCCCAAATTTCAAGACAGATCCCTTTAGGGGCTTATTTCCTGGGGCTGGGAAAGAGGTGTCTGACTCAATACTGGCTTGAGAGTAATGGAATAAATTTGCCACTGTTTCACCTTGGATGGGCAAAAGCAGTAGGGATATATTAATCTCTGAGTTTCTCCCAGCGATGTGGGGAGCACCATTACTTCCTGATAGGGGGAAACCTGTGCTACAGGGAAAGGGCAGGCCCCCTGAAACAAAATCAGAAAGCCATTCGCAAAGGTAATCAATCAGGCCCTAAGTAGCCATTTACCCCCTTTCTTTCCGGGGCTGGAGGTGGGCTGGGAGCCCTCCAAGGGTGCGCTGGGCAACTTGTAGAGCTAGGAATATGTCCTCTCAATCGCCGCCGGCGTGCGGCTTTTGTCTCGGCTCCCAGCCGGGCTTTGTACCATGGATTTGGGAGTGACAATGGGCATTTCTCTCAGATTCAAGGCTGCCTGGCTTTACCTCTGAAGGCAAGGGAGGAAAATTGGGAAGGGAGTGGCTCAAAGACCTGTCCTTTCGCCTGGATTTTGAAGACATCTTCAGAATCCGTTTGCAGGCCTCTCAGGGTGAAAGGCACGCAGCGGCCCTGCTCACGGAGATGCGGTTGCCGCCAGGCAGAGCTAATTTGGCCAGTGAGAGCTGACCTCGCTTGCGTTCTGGTTTTTCCCTCTGTGGCATGTTTTTCTTCCAGGGCCATTCCAGAAGGCCGGAAAATGATGAGGCACCATGGTGGGACTCCAGTGTTCACCGCCCATCCGAGGGCAGAGAGAAGCCCCTCCGAGGCCACCCCTGCAGAGGCTGCATTGAGCTGGACCAGGCCCGGGAGTCCGGTTGCCCTAGCTCACCCCTTGGGCCTCCGGCGTGTGCCTAGCCTCACGTCGAGGGTGTATGTGTGGCTGCCCGGGGAGTGTGTGAGTGTGGTAGAGGGAGGGGGGCCCTTCGAGCTGCTCCATCCGTCCGTTTTATTAGGGACACATTAATCTATAATCAAATACACCTCATAAAATTTTTATTGAAAGGCATAATATCATTACAGAGGTCTTCCACCTGTTTTAAACAACACGACAAGCTGTGAGAGAGCGTGTGTGGGTACGTGTGGGGAGGGGTGGGTTTAGGTAAGAAAAGAGGCGAAGGGAGAACAACTCCCCTTGGGCGCCAGGGGGCTGCCCTTAAAGGCCTGCCTGCCTGGGGTAGCACCGGGCCGGGAGCCTCCATCTGCTCCTGGCTCTGGGTAAGCGCCTAGGTGTGCCACGGGAGCCCGACCCAGGGCTTAGAGGCCAGGAGTCAGGGAGTCAGAGGTGGGGTGGAGATTGCAGGACCCAGAGCAGCAAGAAGAGATGAACAAATAG